TCAAGGGCATGTACCTTGGTTTCGGGCACATCCCCAGTAGGGAGTGTGCAGGAGGCAGTTGATCGATGTTTCTCTCTCATCGATGTTTCTAACTATCCCTCTCCCTTCCTCTCTGTAAAAAATCAATAAAATATATTAAAAAAAAAAAGTGCAGGAAGAGGAAGGCGGCAAGGGTAGGTGATTGCAGATGCCATCTCTTTTCTCACCTGCACGCAAGATCCTTTTCACTTGGATCCCTTGGTACAAAGTTCCAATTGTATTAAGACTCCAAGGCAAGAGAATGCCAAGTCTTCCTGGAGTTTGCTTGGCCTCAGTTGATAGTCTTTCACAAACGGGACAAAGAACCCAGAGAGGTTGCAGGTTTACAGGGGGAGACATGGGCCCAGGCGGGAGCTATGAGGAAGCCTGTCTCCGAACCAGGCTCAGCAGACTCAGCCGAGGTTTTAAATGACAGTCTGTGGTGGGGAGCTGGGGGGCGGTAGGGAGCTGGGGGGCAGGGTGGTGCTCAGGGCACTGAGCACTCGAGGCCCCATCTCTAGTTTTCCAGAAACCTCCCAAGCATTGGTCTCCTGAGAGCCACTCAGTGCCCAAGCGCCCACAGAGCCCAGTGCCCACCCTGTGTCTGCTTTCCTTGTGGGCGGCATCCGGGAAGTTTCTGGGAGACAGACACTCATCTCTGCTCTCACCCCCCTGGGACTATGACTCATTTTTTTCTGACAGTTTGATCCTCCTCTGATTGTCAAACCTGGATCCGGGTTTGCTTCATATCCTGGGGGATTCTGAGAACAAAGCTCCTTCCTTAGCTGGGCTCTGACAGTTCGCTCTCTGCAACTTTCCATCCAGAGGTGTTGCCAGTGGGGGACCTTGGACAAATTCTGTTACCTCTCCCCATGTACACCACCCTTCCCTCCCCCGCACCCCCCGCCACACACACACACACACACACACACACACACAGTTTTCTCTTCTATAGCGCAGAAGTATCAACCTGAATACTTCACGTTGAAAAGTAAATTGGATGAAGTAGTAAGGGTGGGCGCCGTTTGGAAAATTGAGAAGTGCTGGAGGAGGGAGAAGGGATCCAGTGAATAACAACATGGTAGCCCAAGACAAGGCTTGGAATCTGGGCTGAAGTGCCTCCAACAGCCAGCAGGGGGAGCCCTTCCCAAGCACTAGAGAAGCCTGGGGGCCCATCCCTTCCTACACCTTCCCCGGGGGCATATCTGGGTCAGACACAGAGGTTGGTTTCCGTGGGCTCTGGGCGCTGCTGCCCCTACCCACTGTGCTTCCTGGCCGCCCTGTGGGGCAAGGGCACAGTGATGTGGGCCATTTCTCAGGGACATGGCTTACTCCAGGGATCCCCCATCCTGGCCTCAGTTAGGCCAGGCAATGCCACACACTCACCAGTACACCACCACTGTGTGCTTCATGTACTTGAGCAGTTTCTTGGTCTCAAACAACAGAGGGATATCCAGAATCACGTAGCGGTATCCTGGAGAAAAGGTGGGAAAGCCACAAGGTCAGGTCTGCAAGCACACACTGAGGACTTACTATGTGTTAGGTGTGGGAACTGAGTTCGCCACTGGCTCCTACCATTGAAAGCTCCCCAAAGAGGGGGAGGCCTTCCAAGGATAGGCATAACCTGACAGCCAGCCGGTTCCATTCAGAGCAGAATGCTGCACAAAGTTGTTTTTGACTGGATGAGCAGGAAAGACCTTGTAGAAGGAATGGCATTTGTACTGGCCTTGCAAGGCATGTAGACTTCTGATACCTGAAAATGAATGGGTGAAAGCGAGGGTTCCAGGAATGGGGAACCGCAAATCACAAGGAAAGCAAGGTCCTATTGCTCTGGCTGAAGGGGAGGCCTGGAACAGTGGGAGGCAAAACTGACGAGGTGATCAGGCGGGCACAAAGCACTGAGTTCACCTTGAACTTGAATCCAAAGAGTTATTTCTGAGGAGGGAAATGACACAGCCAAAATTGTAGGAGACTGGGGAGAGTTTCCAGGAGTGACTGGGCCCTTTCTGCCCTGCTTCACCCACCTTTGTTTTAAAAAAAAAAAAAAAGGTTCTTCCCCAACAGCGAGGTCCAAGCCAGGCTCCCTGCTGCAGAGTCCCGTATGGCTCTACCAGTTCTCCACGAGAGACTCACATGGGGGTGGCAGCAGCAGACCCAACAGGAAAGACACTGCTTCTTAGGGTCAGAGGCAGACCTCCAGCCTGGGAATGCAGGGGTGGGTCTGGAGGTGCGACGGTGGTTATGGCTAAGACTAACCTAACTCCAGGGGGACAAAAGCACTGGCTGGCCCTCCTGCTACAAGCCAAGGCCAGTCAATGGTGGCACCCTCACCCACTGTGAGTGGGCACATCCCTGGCTGCCCACCCAGCAATACCGTGGGCTCCACACTCTTAGTTCTCTTTATGCCAGTGAGCCCCGTGTAGGTGTCATAAAGCTGGCGGGGGTCCAGGAGCCGTAAGAGGAAGGAACAGGCACTGCTCTGCCTAGAGACCCCGGCCTGGCTTGGATGGTGTCCCACTGCAAACACTTCCGCCTACAGAACCAGACACACATCACACACCGGTTCCAAGGGTGCCAGGGGTGATGCAGGGAACAGTGACAACACAAGCTACTGGGTTTCCTGCTCCCTGGGATCTATTGCTCAGGAAACCTACTCAACGAGGGGTTAAAAGAATGGGCTCTGATAACACGCCTGGGTTTGAAGCGCCCCACTTTCTTACCATGTCACTTTGGGCCCCTTAACAAACCTCATCCGTGTAAATGAGTGAAAAGACTACCTACTTCACAAGAAGATGGGAAGGATTAAATGAAGGAAGTCGTGTAGACCACACCGCACCCCCTCACCCAGACCCTCATTAAGTGCTCCATAAATGATGGTTATTATGACTACTGCTCTCTGAAAGGGGAGGCCTGCAGTACTGGCTCCCCCGCTGCCCCTCCGCCCCCAAACTCAGAACAGGAGCCAGGGCCAGATCCTCTCTGGGCCTCTTATCTCTCTTTCCTGCTCTGCTCCCATCCCTTCCTCTCCCCTCACTGCCCTTTCTCCTCAGCCCCTCTCGGGAGCTCGCGGCCAGTTCTTTGGTTCACCGGCAAAAGGGCTTTTCAGCTGTCACATCCCTCCTGCTTGATAAGCTCTGCAAACTATCCTGACTCTATTAAGACATCCGCCTGCCTACACAGAGACCTCCCCAACAGCTGGTGATCTTATCTGACGTTTGATTATACCAACTCTGACAGTTGTATTTGTTACAGTCATCGGGGAAAAGCTGGGACTGTGGAAGCCACAGCTGTCGTCCCCATTTTTCACCTTATCGAGCTGAAAAGAGCTTTCTGGCTTTTATTTAAGTGGTGGTGGCTGGCGAGAGGGGAGGCTGGGTGGATGACACCGCGGGAGGACTCTGGAGCAGGTGACATTATCCGACTTAATTTCATAAGGGGAAAGCCACTGTTCGCTCAAAGCCCTGCAGATGTACTTGCAACTGGCCTGGGAGTGAACTCGAAAGGGCACAAATGAAAGGCAGAAGGCTTCGCGCCTGGTGGGGGCAAGAGGGGATCCTGACACAGACACAAGAGGCAGAACAGAAAAGGAATCTAGAGACTCTCCTTGAGGAAGGAGGAAGGGAGGAAGGGAGGAAAGGAAAGGAGGGAGGGAGGGAGGGAAGCAGGCCTGTGGCAAGGTACTGAGATGCAGAGCAAAAGCTGGTCCAGCAGGGAGGATGCACCATGGCTGTCTGTGAAGTCATCCCTTTCCTCTGGAGAAAGGTTCTGGCCAGACGGGGGTGGGGTTCCCCACTCTGTACGTGAGAACTTGATGCCTGAGAAAGTAAGGGATTTGGCCATGATCACAGAGCAAAAGCTAGAAGGCAACCTAGAAGCCTCGCTCATACCCTCCAGGAAGGCAAGTCTCGGCATCATGACTGACAGTGGGGAGACAAGCAGCCAGGCCTTCAACACTGAGACGCCGACTGGAGGCCACATATGCCAGAGGCTGCAGGGGCCCTAGGCTAGCCTCTCGCCTGATCCCAAGCCACTGCTCTCTGCTCACCCACTTCTCCTGGTGACCGACTCCATCGTGGACAGTATTAGGTCCCCCTGCCCAACACCGTCCTGAAGAACAGGACCCGAACTGTGGCCTCTGGTTGGGGAAAGGTTAGCAACAGCTGCGGAAGGTTCCTGCCAACTGACTACAGACCCTGCTTTTCAAACCTCTCCTCTTCTTTCAGTCCAGCAGGCACCTGGCTGTGTGTGCACATGCCAGGCAAACTCCACTGAGCCCTGCCTCTGACCCTCAGAACCCCTCCATCACCCTCCCTGGCCATCCTGGGTCCTCTCCAATTTCCTCTCTGCTAACTCACTTTCCCGGGAGGCTTGACCAGCACTAAATCCGACTCTGACTGTGGTTTCTATTTGTGGGGTGATGGACAGTCACTGACGTGGGCTCTTAGTCACCCTAACAGCTCTGCAAGGTTGGCATTATTAGTCTCACGATGCAGATGAGGAAACAGGCAGAGGGGTTGGCTCGTGGACAAAGCCAAACAGCTAGAAACGGTGAGGGCCAGGCCTTAAACTCAGGTCTTACGACCCCATTATTCATCAGCTGTTATTACTCCCATCCCTGCTAGAAAAATCAACTCCCTTCCTGGGGATCATGGCTCAAAAGGGTCTCTTCTCATTAAATTGTCAACCTCCTTAAGAGCTGAGGGGCATGTGCTCCTTTCCTCTGGGACTGGTACGGGGCTCTGCATGGTGGGGGCGGGGGGCGGGGTGCCAATACTGTGAACTCTACAGCCTTTCTGCAGAGGAGAAGGGCCCTGGCCCTGGCCCTGGCCGCAGAGGGCTTCGCCCACACCTGTCCCAGGCCCTGGGTCTTACCCCGAAGGAAGTACTTGAAGGTCTCCTTCATCATTTCCTTGCGGATCTCAGGGTGAGTGATGGTGTTGAGCAGATGCCGCCGGTCGGGCTGGTTAAATATCAGGTCCCCCAGGACCTTGCGATTGATGTCTCCATTCTCCAACAAGACCTCAGTGCCAAAAGCTTCCACAATGCGCCGGTGGGCGGGGTATCCTGGCTGCACCACTGTGGCAAGAGAGGAAGGCTGGGTCACTCTTCGGAGCCTCTGGGCCAGCCAGAGGACCCTAAACAACTAGAGGCAAAATGATGGGGGAGACCAGGGTGCTCCTTTCAATAGAAGCAACAATGAAATGAGGGGAAGGAAGAGAGCAAAGTGCAGAGTCCCTCAAGTTGGTCATGGGGTGAAGTGAAGGCGGGGAGACATCTAACGAGATAGAGGAATAAAGAGAAAAGCGAGAGGACAAGCATGAGGCAGGGAGCAGGACATCAGACAGGGTCAAAGGAAAGTCTTCCCCGACTCTGAGGCCTTGGAAGGCCTTATAAAAAGGAAGCACAAGGGAGCTGCCATGTGTAACCCCACAGCGTGACCCCTCCACTCACCATGCCGGGCGATGACGTCAACATCAATCACTGCGCAGCCCAGCTGCTGGAACACCTGGAGCACTGAGCTCTTGCCTGAGGCAATGCCCCCTGTCAGGCCCACCAGGAACATCTTCCCAGGGACAGGCGGTCAGTGAGCCCAGAGTCCCAGAAGTTGGACAATCGCTGGAGTAGGTAAGCTCAGCCAATCAGGATAAGCCACCACAGGAACGCCAGAAGGACCTGCCTGTGGGACAAGAGCAGGCCTGATCAGTGCTGGGAGGGGAAGGCCAAGGCAGGGGAGGGAGACACAGCCTGGCTGGGCAGTCAAGCCCAGAGCTTGGGGAGCTCTGGGTCCATCCTGAAACCGAACACCCTTTCAGGAAAGGCCTCCAGTATTATTTAAAAAACACTCATACAGACGGCAAATGGACACAGTCTACATTTAGCAAAGAGCTGAGGAGGCAGAAGAAGGTCAGGTGCTGTTAAGCAAAGTGTGCTTTCTGGAGGTGGCAGTCACTGACGCAGGCGCACTTCCAGTAGGAAGGGACACCTGTGACCCAAGGCACTCTCCCAGCCCACAGAGCAACCCTCCCTCCCCAGCCTCCGCTTTGTTTTAAACTGATTTGAGGGAGAAGAAGAGGGAGAGAGAGGGGGAGAGGGAGGGAGGGAGGGAGAGATGAAGGGAGGGAGGGATGGAGGTAGACAGAGAGACAGACAGACAGACAGACATTGATGTGAAGGAGAAACACTGATCGGCTGTTACCTGCACGTACACTGACGGGGGATCGAGCCCACAACCTGGGCATGTGCCCTGACCGGGAATGGAACCAGCAACCTCTTGGTGCACAGGAAGACACTCAATCAACTGAGCCACCCCAGCCAGGGCCCCAGCCTCCACTTCCTAGTCTGGCACCCTTAGGCTCTCAGGAAGAAAGGGCCGGCCTGACCCACCCTAACACCAGCAGTAGGACTATCTGGGTGGCTAATCTAGACGGAGATGAGTAATCCCTCCTCCTCAGCCAAGAAGTGGACCAGATGAAAACCTCAACGGCAAGCAGTGGTTCAGTGGCCGCTACGTCTGAGGTTTAGAGAAGTATGGGTCTTGCCAAAGAGGAGTGTGAGGAAGGGATGACAGGCTTGGGGTGGGGATAACTTTGATTGACTTGCAGCTCTCAGACTGAGCAGCAGCCTACAGCACAAAGGTTAGGAGCACGGACCTCTTCAAATCCAGTTCCTCGCTTACATGCTGTGCAACCCCAGGCCAGTCACTTGCCTCTCTGAATCTGTTTTCTCATCCATAAAACGGGGATGATAGAATCTGTCTCAGAGGCTGCTGTGCAGGCTGAATGAGAAAATGTTTATGAAACTCTTGGTACGCTGATACCGTAAAGGAAGTGAGGATGGTGATGTGGGGTGGGAAGTGGGGGTTAGTCAGATTGCAAGGGGAAAAAAAACTCAAAATTATGTCCCCATCCCTGCAACCTCAAGACTATCTAACAATAGATTAGACATCATCCTGATACCTCTAAGCTGTAGGTTCGATCTCTAGTCAGGGCACATACAAGAATCAACCAATGAATACATGAATAAGGTAAACACAAGTTGATGTTTCTCTCTCTCTCTCTCTCTCTCTCTCGCTCTCTCTCTCTCTCTCAAAAAAAAAAAAAAAAAAAGTCACGTTGCATTATCTGAAGTCACAGGGTTACCATGTCTTGAACTTTGTTCCCAGGCTGAAATAAATTAAGTTGAAGGTCAGGTCTTCCCACCCTTCCTTCAGCGTCAAATCATGTCTCCAGAACCTTGAAATCTGTCGTGACTTTCTGTTGTTGTTGTTAAACAGCAGATTTACTGTCCTAATTACATTTTGCTTGAGCTTATACTGAAAGGAGTTTGCTCCCC